CCCCCTAAGGGGGAGGCTTATGTTCAGCAGTGGACAGTTAAAGGCTGATATAATGAAATGAATAATCAATGATAAATTTAAATAATAAATACTGAAGCCACCCCCCCCTCCCAATAGGGGAAGGCCTATGATTAGCAGTGGACAATTGACAACTGATATAGATTTATTTTAATGGATGATTTTTTTATTGATGATGGAATAGTAACCCCGCCTGCGCTGACGGTACACTGGCGGGGCACCAGTGAAGGATGATAGGTGAGAATGAAAAGGCAGGTCAGTTAGCCCGTCGTGATGATTTCACTTGGAATAGAACACGGTGGTTTCCATAGGGAACCGCGTGGAGATCGATCTGATAGGGTGTATTGCTAACATCGTGGCTAATCCCCATTATTAACAATGCCTTCTCCATTCCCCCCCCCCCTTCGAAGCATTTGTGTGGTGTCACTTTATGTATATAATGTAAAAATACATTTGTATTATTTCAGATGTCCACATTGTGTCAGTCAAAGGTGTCAGTCGTCAAAGAGTTTCTTCAAAAAATTTATAGGTGTTTAACCACTGTTATTGTATATTATAAATATGTTTATATGTGTGTGTAAATAAATATACTTACTATGTGTTTTTAATAGATTTTATTTTAAACATAACCATTAACAAAATGTATATTTACTGGGGGGAAAAGGGATTGTTAGTAATGGAGACTGAGAATCCCATTGCTAGCAATATACCCAACCAGGTCGACCTCCCCGCGGTTCCCCCTGGAAACTATCATGGTTAATTCCTGATGAATTCATCATGATGCGCTAACTGGCCTGTTTTCATTCTCATCTATCGTCCCTCACTCAGCGTATCCCGTTAGCGCAGGCGGTGTTACCATACCATTTTCACCCATCAAAAAAAAAAAATACGTTTAAAATCTTTTTCTCCTTATTGTTAAAGTGAAAACTGAGTCTTATAAACTTATAAACTCTTTACTGAAATTTGAAAATAGAAAAAAAAAAATATTGCCTAGTAACCTTCATATTTGTGTTGTGTTTTATAAATTAACTTTTGTCTGAAAAACTGTATTTACAAATTGAATAATATTTAAAGATAATTGTGCGATATAGTGTTTCGTGTATTCAGTGTGTTTTGTGTTTATACATACTTATAATAAATCTGTAGAGAGGTCAATTATGTACATGAAATATATTTACAAAATAACTATCACGGGGTGATTAGTGATCGATACTGATGCCAAAAATGCAATCAGTAAAATTTTTGTCTGCCTGTCTGTATGTATGTTCGTTATAGAAACAAAAACTACTCGACGGATTTTAACGAAACCTGGTACAATTATTCTTCATACTCCCGGACAGGTTATAGTATACTTTTCATTACGCTACGATCAATAGAAGCAGAGCAGTGAAGGGAAATGTGTCTGTTACATCAAAACCACTGAATCGTGTGGAAAGGACACAGGCCACTTATTTTACGAAAAACAACGGAATCGCGGACGAAGTCGTGGGCAACAGCTAGTTATATTACAAATAAACGGTCAAGTTACTTGTACTAAGAACTAAATCTATTGTGTTCAAGTGCTACCACTACCTTCTTGTTGGTCTATCTTTCCCTGTATATGTTACCAGAGGGAGATTTTGTACAAAAGTCGATTGCTTGGGTACCTCTGTCCCATTCGTGTTTCTACCGTGAAGCAGTTGTGTTTGCATGGCTGTGTTTCGGTTTGAAGGGTGGGATATTGTGTGAATTTACTGGGTACAGAGGAATAACACCTGAATCCTCAGGAATGGCAACGCATGGGGGGTATCATGGACGAAACAGTATACTCTGTTATGTCCACGGTACTGCTCATGTCTATAGGCGACGGTTACCACTTTCCATCAGGTGGGCCGTCAGCTTGTTTGCCATTCTAAGTTGTATATAAAAAAAAATCTACTCCTAACAAGGTAGGTAATCAGCTGCAACTCTAACACCCATTTGTGAAGAACCAGTAATAATTTATAACTAGGCTGTATGGATCGTGCTCTTTGCCTGACCATTTTGGATGAATTTTAAAACAAAAACATTAACATGGCGACGTGAGTGATACATGATTATAAGGATTGATCTATGTTCTATTTAGAAACAACTTTCTTAGCTGATATATCTGCAGGGTAAACGATCTATGATCGCAGTGCAGACGAGCGACGAATTTAAAAGGAAAGGAGAGCTATGCAATCAGTCAAGACATAATAATATAATAAAATCGTAACTGTCCGCTGTCTGTACATGGAAGATATATAAGAAAAACTATTATAATAGGGCTTTGTGACCGCAATATAGCTCAAAACAATGATTTTGGATGATGATGGAGAGTTCCAATGAGAATGATATACGGGAACTGCATAGTAAGAAGTGATCTATGCCGCGGGAAACGGCTAGTTCTAAATATTTCATCTCCGTTTAGCTTTGTTAGAACTTTTTGGTTCTAGTCTAGAAAAGTCTAGAAAATGCTTTATACAGACCCATACACCTTGTGGGAGGTGAGGTACTGTGGGAATCCCCCCGTAAGGTGGGGGTGTACCCACCAAAAACCAGACGATATACCCTCGGGGTGCCATATGTCGGAGACATGGGTTCGCTTTTATTTTAGCCAGTCAGGATTCGATTATCAATGTTACCTAGCAATTGTTGTCGACTATCGTTATATACGTAATTGAAAATTGGTAGACGTTATAAATACTGTGTTACTTGAACTGTGAGTGATGTTGTGTGTTCGTTTGTGTATTTCGTGTAATTTGTTTGGACTTCATAAACTGTAAAAGTGACATCTACCAACTTGAGAGTTCCCTGCTGTTCAAGGTACAAGACTCAAGGTACGAGTTTCACTAAATATATTCAGCGAAACATGCGGTAAGTAGCGAATGTGGTATTCTCAAAAAATATTTTTCTCTTGTTTAACGGAATATACTAATTCCGTTGCAGAAATATCGGAGAAAAATACATTTTTTATTTTTATTTTTTTTTTGCTTGTGTCACTTAAAATGGCATACAAGCTGACGGCCCACCTGATGGAAAGTGGTAACCGTCGCCTATAGACATGTGCAGTACCATGGACATAACAGAGTATACTGTTTCGCCCATGATACCCTTCATTCCTGAGGACTCAGGTGTTATTCATCTGTACCCTGTAAATTCACGCCATATCCCACCCTTCAAACCGAAACACAGTCATGCAAACACAACTGCTTCACGGTAGAAACACGAATGGGACAGATATTACTTAGATCACAAAGTTTTTAATACATAAATATGTGTTTATATTTATAATAAGTTTACTATTGTAATATTTTGGAGAAAACAATAATAATAAATTTATTTCTTTATACAAAGATAGTTACATTACAGGGTTTGGTATTTCCTGTTAAGCAAAGATTGCTTATGTTAGGAGAAACCGCTCTTTGATAACAATAATTAAATTTCATAATCATCAAACAATAAAAAGTATCTCTCTATCTATGTGAATATTGAATCAAATCGTACCCACCGACAATAAATCGCTTGTCAGTCGCGCGTCTGCCTCGTGTCATAGATCACGCGCGCCGTTTGACCACTTTCACACAATAGGCATGCGACACACGTAACATTACATAAACCTGGTCAGTATGTCCGTGTGTCTGTATGCGTTCTAAATAAATAATATCACCAATTTGTTGTTACAATGACAACTTGGTCGCATGACGTCTGTCATAATGCGAACGTTTATGAGAACGAAGTGTGGTAACATCGAAATTAGAGGGGAAAGGGATGTTTTTTTTAAATGGGTGACAATGGAATGGTAACCCCGCCTGCGCTAACGGTATACGCTGACGGGACACCAGTGAGGGGTGATAGGTGACGATGGAAGCAGGTCAGTTAGCCCATCGTGATGAATTACGCTAGAATTAACCACGATGGTTTCCAGGGGGAACCACGTGAAGGTCGACCTGATGGGGTATATTGCTAGCAATGAGGCAGTTAGAGTTCATTACTAACAATCTCTTTCCCGGGGGAAAGGGATGTTAGAAATAAGTTTATTTTTATAAATATATTATTAAATATAAAAGTTATATATATATTTTTATATAAGTTTATTTCCAGGGGTGACCACGTGGAGGTCGACATGACAGGGCATCTAGACAACCCCATTACTAGCAATATACCCTATCAGGTCGACCTCCACGCGGTTCCCCCTGCAAACCATAGTGGTTAATTCTTGTTCAATTGATCACTATGGGCCAACTGACCCGCCTTCATCTTCACCTGTCACCCTTCACTGGTACCCTGTCAGCGTATACCAATTGCGCAGGCAGGGTTACCATACCATCTTCATAAAAAAAACAATCTTCTCAACAAATAAACGATATATCTATCTATCTATCTATCTAATTGAGCTATTTTTTTTTATGGGTGAAAATGTTACGATAACAATACGAATAATAATAATAACAAAACGATAATAATAAGGAGGTAGACCTGGTTGAGTATATTGCTAGCAACGGGATTCTCAGTCTCCATTACTAACAATCCCTTTCCCCCCTAATGTGGTTATTTTAAGGGATCAAGACTCTCTCTTGGAAAATTATTTATATGTTGATGCCATTTCATTAAAAAAAAAATCTTATTCTACAGAGATATAGAGCAAATTTCTCAAGGCAAATTTTTGCACATAGCGCGTAGATAAGGGAATGTAAAATGTCAATGACATTTAAGACGGACGAAAGTATGAATGAGTTAGAAATGAGCGAAATTTTAATTAGTCAATAGAAAATCAAGTTAACGATACGCAATGCAACGTTTACTTACTTTTTATTGGTAACCACTTCACGTTCTTGTTGACACTTGACACCAGACTATTTTCTCTCCCTCATTCGGACCGTAGAACGCGTATGTAAGAAAGAAACAAAATATTAAACTAACTTCAGATCAGATACGTTCATTCAACAACTTCAAGTAATAATTCATTACATTACATTAGTTTCGTCGCGAAACGATTACTGTTTACACGTCATTTTTTCACAATTCTATATTTAAAATGTAAACAAATGTTTGTTTATGTATTGAGTGAAATATCTCATAATTCTTACGCACGATGTCGAAAATAAAGTTTACAAGTAATGTGCCCGTGTTCAGTTTGTTTGTGTTATTATTAGTGGTTGTTCATGTTTTTTGCAATATAGTGGTAACCGAACACGAACATGTTCATTGTACCCATGAACACCCAAGGGAGGACCAAGTAAGTTTCGATACCGACCTCTTTTTCAAGCTCCCTTCTTTTTATTAGAATTTAAAAAATAAAAACTTTACTCACGACTTTGAGGTTATGTTTCCAATCGAATAAAAAAAAAAATACAAATGAACGACTAATTTGTGTTATATATCATTAGGTGTCGAGTTTATTTAACTAAAATTTACTTGGTAAATTATTTATGTTTCTGTTATGTTCTGTAATACGGTAAACGTATGTCCATATTTTTTTTATTACCTATAATCAGATAAAGAAACCAGCAAAAGAAAGCTTGTTAAATGCAACCGGTCCAATGTTATCAGATTTTAATGCAATAGACTGAAGTTCTTACAGGAATAACAGTAATTAGTATTTCTAAGATAGGTAATGAAGTGGTGAAAAATAAATAAATAATAAATTAATTACCCGAGGTTTCTTGTCAATCTGGTCTCCCTTTTCCACTTGGTGAGATCCCCATACCCCTTTCCTGTTTTTTTATATGTAACGTAAAATAATTTTTTTTTTAAACGTTAAATGTAGTAGGAGTATAGGTATTATGCTTTATTTACTTGTTTCAGTGAAATAACAACTGAATAAAAAGTTGTGTATTTTTAATTGACTTTTTTTACAAGATTCTTTCACCTCTTGCCTCCCCTTCCCCCTTTAATATCATATAATAGACCTCCCTTATTTAAATTATATAGTGGATGTAGTGATGCAATTTATGTTGTCAATATGGCTTATTGGGCAACATTTTTTTTTTTATTTTTTTTTCAGTCCTTGGTGGGGATTTGATAGCAATGAGTCTAGCCTCTTGCTAGCAATCTATTTATTTATTTAAAGCAATCTACTCTGTTAAGTCTATCTCCTTGCGAATCTCCAAGGAAAACATTATATTTAATAAAAAAAAAAAATCCTGGTATTACTTATACATAAGTCACAATGGATCAACTAATCGGACTCCATTCTTCTGTCATCTTTCACTGGTGTACCACTAATGTGATAGCACAAGTGATTGAAAGATAAAAAAAAGGAATGATAACCCATCATTCCTTTTTTTTATCTTTTTTAACCAGTTCTCAATTTAGTTAAGTATATTTTTTTATGCTTGTTACCTCATAACTCCGTTAGTTATAAAATCTGAAAAAAAAAATATTTGAAGGATATATTGGTTCCATTATCATCATCATCTCAGCCATTATCTGTCCACTGCTGAGCATAGGCCTTCCTCATAGACTGCCGTAAAGAATGACCCTGAGCCATCTGTCCATCTACTGACTCCCAGACTAATTGGTCCCATAGAAACTTTACTTTAATTCATATATTATTGTTTTATGCTTCAACATATTTTATAGCAATGAATTAGACACACAGTAATCTGATTAAAATTTTATCAAAATTGGTTTTGTAGTTTTTTTTTAATAATATAACTCGTTTTGCCACAAATAAAATCGGTATATATTTTGGGAAACAAAATCTACTTGTCTATGTATAATATGAATATATTACAAAAAAAGCTGTGTATTAAATGTACATTATACTCACATTTACTTACAAGCTCTAATTAGGACTAGTATTATTTAATATGTCTTCAAGACTTCAAAACAGGTTGAATGGGTCATCTTTTTTATCGTTTTCGAATTTTAAATGCAACACTTGAAGATTACAAACAGCTTTAATGTTTTTCTTTTTATTAATGACAACACGTCAATATTAACTATTTTTTGCCAGTGTCGAGCTTATGTTTCCCGCCATTTTTTTATTGGTCAGTTGAGCAACCGTTATGAGTACACTAGGAATTAAACACAATGGTCTCTAGCAGGATTACGTGAAGGTCAATCTGACAACTATATTGTCAATAATCTGTTACTAATAATCCTCTGCCCAAAACTTTAAATAGTTTTTAAATTATAGATTCGAAATATAGATTAATGTAAGTTGAATACGGTTTTGTAAGCGTGACATATTTTTTTTTTAATCATGGGAAAATAAGGCCAAGATAACAGTGTAAACTTACGTACACAATGAAACTGACATAATTAATGTATAAAACCTAAATATCTAACTTATACGCAATTCTGACCGCTTTGTATATGCATACGTGATGCAATTGGTAGGTATGTGACTTTTAATTTATGCAGTTTTATGGTCGTGCTTCATTTACTGAGTTGATGTACTGTAGTGATGTGGCGAATCGGATTTTTTTTGTATTTTGGTGTAAATAAAAAAAAAAATGAATAATTTTACAATCGATTTGTGAAACATATTTTAAATTAAGGTAATATTTAGTTATGTGACGACTTTTCTTTTAGTAATTATGGACAAATATCGTCATAGTCGTAGAATACTGACGGATCTGACAAAATATTACATATATAGATCCGTCAGTATTCTACGACTATGACGATATAACCATCAAATAGAAACGTAAAAACTTACGATAAACACCCGACTTTTTCCACACAGCCTCTCATTTGGGCCGTTGTGCGTATGAAACTCCGATTAGTATTCGAATAAGGAAGTACTCAAAACTATTCGAATATCGTGTATCTGAATTCTGTATCGAGTACTCGTCTACCTGAGTATTGAGCTTCTAGTAGATAATTGTTTATTAACCATTTTTGTGTCGCGAAAAAGCCTAAAAGTTAAGTAAAAGTCTTGCGACTCTTCCTATATATATATTTTTTTTGATCGGTAAAAATAGAATGGTAACCCCGCCTGCGCTAACGGGATACGCTGGCGGAGCACCAGTGAAGGGTGATAGGTGAGAATGAAAACAGGTCAGACCAGGCCCATCATGATGAATTCATCAGGAATTAACCATGATAGTTTCCAGGGAGAACCGCTAAGCTAGCAATGGGAGATTCTCAATCTCCATTACTAACAATCCCTTTCCCCCCCGCACAGGCGGGGTTACCATACCATTATCATACATTACGTACATCACTACATTGTAGTCGCGACTGTTTGTTTGCATACCTACTCCTCAATAAGGCAGTTGCTCGAATACCTTTAACTCACAATTGGAATGAAAAATCTATTATAACCATGTTGTTTGTTACCAAATAAAGGATTCTGAATCGCTATTTTAATTGTTATAGTGTTTTTTTTTTTTTTTTTTTATATACGTCATCGCAGCCATTACACTTTGTCGTACAATTAATATTACAGTTAAATTATTACAATATTTTATTATTATGTGCTGTGTGGTCCCAGCATAGAATAGGCCACCCCTTCCGTTCTCGTGGGTATTGTAAGAGGCGACTAAAGGAGGGCGAGGAATGGGCAGCAGCGTCCCTCTTAAAACATCTCCAAAGCCTTTTTTTTTTATTATACGACTTAGAATGGCAAACAAGCTGACGGCCCACCTGATGGAAAGTGGTAACCGTTGCCTATAGACATGAGCAGTATACAGTAGAACGGAGTTTACAGTTTCGCCCATGATACCACCCATGCGTTGCCATTCCTGTGGACTCAGGTGTTATTCCTCTGTACTCTGTAAATTGACGCCATATCCCACCCTTCAAACCGAAACACAGCCATGCAAACACAACTGCTTCACGGTTGAAACACGAATGGGACAGAGGTACCCAAGCAATCGCCTTCCAAGCCTAACTGCGGTTGCCAATTCGCCTGCCAAGCGTGGCAACTACTGGAAAAATCCCCAAAGGCTTATGTTCAGCAGTGGACAGTTAAAGGTTTGATATGATGGATATGTAATTATATCCTTTCAAATAAAAAATAATTTTCCAAATCGGTTTTTGACTGACGGAGTTATGAGGTAACAAACATAAAAAAAAAAAAACAAATAAATCGAGAAACTCCTCTTTGAAGTCATTTAAAAATAATCTTTGGTCTGTGGTATAGAAAGTTCAAATTACCCAAATCTTATATTAAATTAAAGACTGCTCATTATTAATAGTCATTATATTTAATTTTGGAAATGTATCTGTCATAATATTTAACAAAACTTGGTTACATACCTTTTTATTAAGATCTATAGAAACGTGACAGTATTTACTGTGGAAAAATCATAGATTGTGTATTTTTTTTTTATTACATTTTTATCGATCTATACATTCCGGTTTTGGAATTCACAAAATTCGTATAAAGTCGCGTGCAAAATCCATAAATGGAAAACCCTAACATGACGTAATCAATAATAGAAACTACGCCCCATGGTACTTGCGTAATTCGATAATTACCTATGGGAAAGCAGTACTATCTCTACTATTATATTACTAATTGTGTGTGTGAACAGTTGTAGTGGCAGGAGGGGACCATAATATAACTTACATTATAAAGTATTATAGAGAAAATATAATAACCTGTATGTTAGAGCGAGATAGACTATAGGACAATTATTTACAGAACATATGCTCGAAGCTGATTTGGCGGGAAAATGAAAAAAATAACTTTTTGACTACGTTTTGAAGTGGAATTAGTGTAAGTGAATGTTTTTATTTAGATTTTTTTTTATACAACTTAGAATGGCAAACAAGCTGACGGCCCACCTGATGGAAAGTGGTAACTGTCGCCTATATACATTACAGTGTCATAGACATAACAGAGTATACTGTTTCGCCCATGATACCCCCCATGCGTTGCCATTCCTGAGGACTCAGGTGTTATTCCTCTGTACCCAGTAAATTCACGCCAAGTGTGCTCTATCTGAATATGATATTAAAAAGGGAAATAAATAAAAAAGTTGCATGTTTTTCCATGTAATTACACTGTAAATATGTATATATATTCTAGAACAATTAGAGTTGGTAGAAAAAATATCTGATTTAATCAAAATAAAGTTCTGAACGTCACCAATTCGAAATTAAAATTGTATTATTTAATAAATTTCGCTATTTTTCCAATTTAAATTTCATACAAAGTCAGATCTGTCACGTGTACAAATTTACAAAACACGCAAACTAGTGTAAAAAAAAAAAATCAATAAAATGTCTTGTCTCGTTTTTGTGTTTTTTTTTTTAATGGATGATAATGGAATGGCAACC